ATCTTCACTGCTCAGTGTGGGGAGGCCACGGACAGCTCCCTAAGGACGTGGTGCCTGAGGGCAGGACAGGCTACATCACTTGCAGGCCCTGTGCAAAATGAACACGGGGAGCCCTTGTTCAAACTGGTTAACAGCAGAATTTTAAACCAAGACCTTTAAGTGTGGGGACCTGTGCAACTACCCAGTCACCCCACGAAGACTGCCCGCCTCAGGGGAATCCTTCAGCAGCAGTAAGACAGGAAGGGAAGCACATGGGACTCAGGTCAGCTCATGGGAGAGGACACAGCATGTCCAGAAGCTCATAATCTTGCAATGGCAGGACACGTTCAGGGAACTACAGCCAGCGCTTTGGTGTGAAGCCAGTGGGTGAGGCCAGCAATGTGGGTGGAGGAATATCTAAGATCCAAATCCTACAGGGGGTGGCTGGAATCAGGTTCCCACAGATGACACAGACAATGACACAATCCCATCTGCTTCCCCCATAGCCCACTCTGGACGAGTGTTCGAGGACAAATGGGGAGGGAGAGCCATGGGAAGGCTGCAGCCTGGAGCAGCAGGGACATGGTGGGTGGTTGGCAGAGGAGGGCATGGATTGGAGACATGATCAAAGGCAGAAGTGAGGTTACTGGGACTCCCAGGATTCTGAGTAGGTGACTAGATGGACAATGATGCGAACACACATGGCAGGGAGAAATGCCCAGACCCGCAGGCCCCCATGCTGCCTGAACTCCAGGTCCCCCTTCCCACTCACCTTGGGCACAGATGTCCCCAACATCTCTGGTGACAGATTTCTGGTCCATGGGATTGCTGACCACACAGGTGAAGCTGGCATTGGGCTGACTCAGGGGTAGGCTTGCAGCCAGGGTCCAGGAGTCAAGGGCTGGTCCTGGTGTCCCTCTCTGCACTGGCTCCAGGGGGAGGCCCCTGCTCTCCCAGGTCACATTCAGGTCCCTTGTGGCCCCTGGGGCCCTGCACTCCAGGGTGACGTTGCACCAGCCTGCTGCGATGGATGGTGACTGAGCCAGGATGTACGGATGGGGCACGGGGTCTGAGGCAGGAGGGGACAAAAGAAAGGAGGCTTGTTTGTAGAGAACATTACACACCGCGTACATTGTAATCATTTTCTCACAGATGCCATGGCATGCACCCTGTAGGGAAAGTGGGTGTGTTTTACAGATAACACAGAGTTTGTCTTCAGCTAAACACTGAGCAGATGACAATAAGAAGGGAAGCCCCTGAGTCAGCCCTGTGAAGTGTCACTAGATTAAACTAGTCAGAAAAATCTCCCAAAGGAAACAAGGCTGGACTCCATCTATTCAAGGCCCATAATTCCTAAAAATTGGACTCCTCTTGAAGGAGGAAGAAATCTGGGGCAGATGGGCTTGTCCTGGCCCAGGGTCCTTCCCAGCATCTCCAGCTGGGATGATGGGACTGCAGCCTGGGACTGCACGGCCCTCTGGGGCAGGAATTCAGGCCAGCTCTGGGAGGCCAGACACAACCCCATGCTCCCAAGAGTACACACATTGGTGGGAGATGCAGTGGCAGCGACAAGGAACATCTCCAAGTGTGTTTAGAACACGCCACTGAACTTGAGGTACAGACAAGAAGAGAAGAGTCAGATGTGTAAGCCTGTCTTAGAAAGCACATGGGACCTAACACTACAAACACGCTCTCTCCATAGCAGGTTATTTCCCTATGCAGAGAGGAACTCTAGAAAAAGAAAGTCGTGGATAAACAGCTGTGCTAAGCAGTGTAAACGGTCTACAACTAGAAGGCTTAGAGAGATGGGTTAGCTGAGTCCTGAGTTATTCTCAGTCTGGGGTGAGAGGGGAGGAGCCTGGGAAGACTCGATATGTGTGGACTTCCAATTGTGAGAGACAGAATAGTGACCCCGGTTATTTCCACATTGTAGTCCTGGCAACCTGGACTACATGGCAAGGGGAATTAAAGTAACAGATAGAATTAAGATTGCTAATCAGCTAACATTGAAATGGGGAGATTATTCTGGATTAGCCGGATGGGTCCAATGGAATCACAAAGACCCTTAGAAGTGAAAGAAAGAGGGAGACAAGGTGCGAGAGGTTGAAACGGACTCACCCCACCATTGCTGGCTTTGAACATGGAGGAAGGTGGCCATGGCCAAGGGAGGCAGATAGCACCCAGCAGGTGAACAAGACAAGAACATGGATTCTCTACTGGAGTCTCCAGAAAGGACAAGCCTGCCAACACCTTGATTTTAGCCCAGTGCAAGCTCTGTCAGACTTCAGACCTACAGCATGCTGACATAATACATTTCTGCAAATTCAAGCTACTAAATCACTGTAATTTGTTCTAATTAGTAGTTCTGAAAACTACTATAGAAATTAAGTAACATTAATCCTGGAAAGGATGATTAATGTTATTGGAACGATTTCTATTTCACCAATTTCCATTGTCTTTCCCAGAACACCAAAGTGATTTTCTCCCTGGTATCAATCTCAGCTCTGGACTCCATATCTGGTGACTGCACTTTCCCTATTTCAGGGGAGGCAGTAGAGTGTGAAGGCTGTGTCTGAATGGAATCCTGCAACATGGGGCCAATGTGACAAAATAAGAGGTAAGCCATGGGCTGGAGGGAGGGGTGTCACTCACCATAGACAGTAAGGTGGAAAAACTGCAAAACTTCTCTTCCTTCCGTTAACCTGGCTTGAGCTCGGTAATGCCCACTGTCCTCAAGGATCAGGTTCGAAATCTTCATGGAGGCCAAGTTGGGCACCTGGACCCTCTGCTTGAGTTTGTCCTGGAGGCTGAACCAGGTTGGAGAATGGACGCCTCTCTGGATTCGAAACATGACTCTGTAGTCTGACTCCGGGGTAAAGCTCCAGTAGAGCTCATCCAGCTCAGCTTCCAGAACTGCTCCTGTCTTCTGGGTCACATCAAACAGGACAGAACCTCCTCGGATCCCCCTCAGAGGAACGTGGGCTCCGGAGTCTTTAACCGCAGAGCCCTGTGCCCCAGAACTCTCAGCCACTGCACGGCAGACACCTGGACATCGGAAACGGAAACGGGAGTGTTTTCCCATCAAGAACAAATAAGAGAGCCACGGAACTTCTCTTCTTAATCAAATCCATCCAAAATTCTTCTTTCTAGGAAGGTAGGCTAGTATAATGAATTGGAAGTAATTCTGGGATCAAGCCTGGTTCTCGTGGAGTATAAAATTAAACAGGCTTAACTGCCTATTTGTCAGTTTCCTTACCATCCAAAAATGATAACATGAATTAAGTGAAACCATAGATCAGAAGAACCGAGTACATTTTCGGCACATGCTAAGTGCATAAATGTAGAAGGCAGCTCTAACACGTCCCCCAAAGGTCTCTCCGTCCTGTGCACGTCAATGTGTACTCCCTCCCCTGGGGTGTGGCTGCACCTAGTGACCTGCTTGTAAGGAACAGAATAAGCAAAACGGTTGGGGCACTTTTCAGAGTCTGAAAATCCTACAGGTCTAGTTTCTCCTTCCTCCCCAATGAGACCCAATCACACTATTATTTTCATAACTACTTGCAGATATTTTTTGATGACTTTTTTCCAGTATGGTTATTTTTGTTTATTGAAAGATTCATGTGACAATATATATTAATAAAGAAGCAGAAACACACCATCACGAATTTAGTTGCCAGCCCTGCTCCCCAGGATGCGTGTGAGGTCAGGTCACAGACATAATTACCAAACTCTAGGGTTCCCCAGTCAGCGGTCATGTCCTGCAGGAAGGGGGGCTGTTATGGATTGAATTCTGTTCCTCAGGAAAGATACATTGAAGTCCTAAACCCAGAACCTCAGAAGGTGACATTCTTTGGAAATAGAGTCTTTACAGATAGAGTCAAGTTAAGGAAAGGTCATCAGGCTGCGGCCTCCTCCAATGTGACAGGCGTCCTTATGAAAGGGGGAAACTTATTCGCAGACGCCGACATGCACGGAGGGAAGCCGTTGGAAAGAGACACAGGGACGAGGCACGTGAAGGTGAGGATGGACCGACGCAGCTGCAAGACAGGGACTGAGACAGACTCCCAGCAAACAGCAGAAGCTGGGAAGGGGGAGGAAGGATTCCTCTTGTTATGGACTGAATATCTGTGTTGCCCCCGAATTCACATGTTGCAGTTTTAAAACCCAGAGTGGCTTTATTTGGAGCTGAGGCCTCTAATGAAGGGAGGGTAAGTGAGGTCACAAGGGTGGGGCCCAATCCAATAGCATTAGTGTCCTTATAAGAAGAGTCACCAAAGAGCAAGCGAGCCAGCCCTCCCCATAAACACGCACTGAAGAAAGGTCACATGAGGACACGGGTAGGAGGCAGGCTTCCGCTAACCAGGCAGAGAGCCCCACCAGCAATTGAATTGGCTGGAACCTTGATCCAATAGCCCCCAGAACTGTGAGAAAACAAATTTCTCTTGTTTGTTAGTGTAGACTGAGCTGACTGCTACAGCCGTGTAGGTTTCAAAGTTGATTAACACACCCCTATAGGTTTCAAGAAGTGTGTGACAGTCAATTTCCACTCTTCTAGCCACTGTGATTGATGTCTGTTAGGACAGGCCTGGGAAAGGATTACAAAAGCTCAGGTAGGTGGCAGCCAGGGACTACACCTTGACACTATGAATGATTCCTGAGGAACCAGGGCAGAGCCCTTGGCAAGCACATCACATGAGGGGTCAGCTCGGGACTGAGACAGGCCTGGGATCAAGTTCCACATCCACCCTTTACTGGCTGAGTGATCTCTACCAGGTTCCTAAAATGTCTAGCCCTTGAGTTCCCACATATGGACACTGGGGATAATAACCGCCAGTGCTGTTAGGGCTCCTACAAGATATATATGTGTGTGTGTGTGTGTGTGTGTGTGTGTGTGTGTG